CCCGCGCCGCTGCCGCGACGGCAAAATAAAAATCTCTCCCGCGCCGCAATAGTTTTTGGAAAAAATCTGCCGCTGCCGCGCCGCCACCGCCACGGCGGCAGCGGCGCGATGGACATCTCTGATCTCTGCTCGACAGGTCGTCTCTAGTTCTCTCATAAACAAAAAAAACTATTTTTTACCGTTTCAGCATATTGAATTTCTAGATCTTTTAATTGTAGAGTTAAATTAACAACACGTTCTTTTGAATCATCAAGTTCAAGTTTAGTTGATGTTAATTCTTTAGTTAATGTTTCAACACGTGCTCGATCAAAAGCTGAATCAGCAAAAGTTTTATGAATTGTCTACAAAATAAAATAAATATTAATGAAAATTTTAAAATAAGATAATGAAAATACATCAATTTCTTTTTGATGTTGTTTTCGTAGATTTTCAATTTCCATTTTTTGTCTTGCACTAAGATTTTTTCGTTCTTTAATAATAGCTTCATTTATTTTTTGATTCATTTCATTTTCTTTTGTTCGAAATTCTTTTTTCATTTCTTCTAATCCTTCATTTATTTTAATTTGATTTTTTTCAACATTTTCTTTATCAAGATTAATCTATTAAGAAAAGAAAAAAAAAAACAAAAATATCTATTTTTTTTAAAGAAGAATAAAAATAAATAAATTTACTTTATATGAATGAAATGAAGTTTTTAAAAATTCAAGTTCATTTTTTAAATCTTGTTCACGTTTATGACTTTGATTTTGTTCTTCATCTAAGGATTTTGAATTTTTTTCATTAAGATCTTCAAGTTCTTTCTCATGTTCAAGCATTTTATGATGAAGTAATTCTTGAAATTGTTTATTTTGATTTTGTAATTGATTAGTAAGAATTTCTTGAGCCTAAAATTAGTATTATACTTTGATTAGAAAAAGATCAAATTGAAAAAATTTGAATACTTTAGCTCGTGTTTGTTTATGATTGAGTCGTTCTTCAGCTAATTGTAATGCTAAATCATCAATTTGTTCACATAAATTATCAATATGTGCTTGAATTGGTGGTGGAAGAGCACCACGTCTATATAGTAAAACCAAAAATGATTTAGTAAAATGAAGAAATTTTGTTTTTCTTTACTGAGAATTTTCATCAAGTTTTGTTTGTTCATCTGTTAAATTAAAAAATTCTTCATTTATACGTGCATCAACATTTTGTTTATTTTTTGTCATAGTTAATCCTTGTTGACTATAAACTTGTCGTTTTTCACCCTGTAAGGGAAAAACAAAAAATATTTTATTTATTTTTTTAATGTAATTCATAAATATACATCAAAAAGTCGTTGCCATGGTTCAGGTTTGATTTTTTTCAATGGAAGACGACATGGAAAAATATGATTTGAACAAGAACTACCTAGATTTATTCGATGAATAGAAGCTGATGAACTAAATAATTCATAAACTTTTTTTTTATGAAATTCATAACATATATTTAATTAACCTGATATTTGATCTAGGTCGTCCTGATGGAGTTGTTGAAATAGATCGTCCATTACTAGATAATCTTAAGAAATAGAGATTTTATTTTTATTATTATTAATTTTTTTTTTTGAAAAAGTAATACGAGCAAATATTCATACATTGGTAAAGTTGTTCGTTTATTCATTGTTTATAGATAACTTAAGCAAATGAATCGTGAAAAAAAAAAGTTTATTAATGTAGGTACGCGTAGATCTTTAAGTTGTTTTACCGACAATAAATGTTTTACAGACCAATACATTTAGAAAAATAAGCAAAAGAAAAAAAAAAGAACTCTTGACATACAGAAAAAGATCAAATAATTTTCATTAAGAAAGACGTAAAATAAATAGATAAGCATTAAAATAACATAGCATGTAAATACAAGCTGTAGAAATGTGTTTGGTTTTCTTATGAAAATAAAAATTTTTTTGTGTTATATAACACTATAAAAACTACAAGTTCAAATTTTGGTCTGATGAAAAATTAACAATCATTTGAAATTTAAATATTCTTTTCTCATTATTTACTTATGATGAAGAAGAAAAAAAAAACAGAACTTTTCGATTTGATTCACATTTCGTAACCATAGCAGCAAAAAAATTAATTGTTGTATACTTCATTTATAGATCAAGAAAAAGAAAGTAAAATTTTGAAAAATTTCTTAGTCTTAATCGAGGTTTTATAATGCAATAAATCGATTTCATAAAACTCGATGATAATTTGTTCAATTTTATCTTGTCATTCATCAATACAGAGACAGTTAATACAAAAGTACAAAGTCAAGATAAGCTTTTTAAAATGTTATATGTTGATTTAAATAAATACCTGCTGTTTCGTTCCATTGAATGACGAAATGTTGATGCAATAGACATTTTACATTCTGTCAATTTTAAAATATAATATTTTAATTTCAATCAATATTTAATAGTTGGGCAATAGAAGAACCAATAAGAAAAGACACCTTAGACTTCACAATAAATACATTGAAATTGTACTTGATTAACATATATATATAAGTGTATATAGTTCATTGAGACGGTCCAAACTAAATTAACGAAAACATCTTCCTATCCAAGACGGTTTTATACTTATTTTTATGTATGATTAAAAAGCTTTGAATATGAAAAAAAAAATTCTTTTTCTTTAAAGAACCAACTGAATTAGTTCGAAGGCATGCATAGAACGGACTACGTTAATTTTCTATTCATTATGTTAATTATAATCGATGTTTTGAGGAATGGATTAAAAAGAATTAGTTTTATTTTCAACAAATAACATTCATTAAATATGAAGACTACGAACAGTTGTAGCAATTATAAACAACAACTTTTCTTTTTAATGATGCTAAATCATTAAATAGAAATCTAATACCAAAAGCAATATTTTGATCAGTAATGGAGTAACAATAACAAAAGCATGAGCACATCAAAATAATCATTAGAATAGTCGTCATTCAATTATTCAAGTGAAAAAATATTATTTTAATATATTTAGAAAGATGTTTTATTAAACGATGGGATTGTTCATCTTATCTACATGTAAAGCTAATTCTAATTTTGGGAAGAAAGATTTTGTTAGTTGAAGTTTTTTGAATTCATTTATCTCTATTTCAAAATCATTAAAAATTACTTTCCTTTTTTAAAATTGATCCGTCATTTAAAAAAAAAAAGGATACACAGTTGTTTATAATATATGAATTGAATCTTAAATATTTTCTTATTTTCCTAAAAAAAGAAAGTTATTTTTTTTTCGAATACATTTCATTTTTTTATCTTGCATAACTGAATCTTCGTCTTATTCATGTTAATAAACAAATCATTACGATCAATACTGTCTTCATTTTCTTGTTTCTTCGTTTGGGCTAAAATATGAAATCATATCTACAAACGAAATTTAATTAGAAAATTCTATTTTTTTGTTTGTCTCGATACATTGAATTCCGATAATATTTTTCCAAGAACGAGCTTTTTATTCACATATTTCTTTGCAGTATATGTTAATTGTGCAATAAGCAAAGCATACCATCCTCGTGATCATCTGATGATTGCATAAATTTATGAGTAGTGAAACTCATATGATCGTTTTGTTGTAAAGTTTAACGGCAAAAAGGAAACTGGCAGTCATAGATTCTATTAAAGCAGTATGTTCGCTCGAAATGAAGAGAATCACTCTACGGGGTCTATCTTATTGTAAGACATACGATTATATTCCCATCAGAAGAACAGCTTTTATTTCGCTCACACACTTTATCTTCTTTTTACTTGGACCATCACATGAGCGAACAGAATCGATTGGAGATTTGACATATGATAATCAAGCAATATATAATAGCATGATCACAATAAGAGAAATCAGAGTGATCCAAGCAGTCGTAACAACCAATCAAGCAATTTTCTCGAAAGAGTCGTCAATCAATTCGATACCAACAATGATTAGCTTCATGAAACTCATTCGTTTTATCGTTTTCGTCCTTTTATTGGCAACATGCGCCAATGCTCAGAATGATTCTATCAAATGAGTAGATTCTATGAAGCATTGAAATCGCCTTATTGCTGCTTCAGAATGCTCTCATGATGCTGAGGCTTATGGCTACCACTGCCATGATGGTCAAGTTTATTGCTTCTGTAATTTCTAAATGTTGTCGAGGTATGTATTGTGAATAGAAATTTTATAAGAGAAGACTGAATAGATGGAAATGTTTCAGAAGCTTTGAATCAATAAAAACACATTTTTATCTATTGAGAAAAGTGACTATGTCGATCCTTTACTAATGTACTCTTTTTTTAGTATGACTTTTTTCTGTATTTTCGTGTACATAGAGTCGAAATTCATTTGAATGTGTGGCTTTTTTCATATTCGCCCTAGCTTTGGAATAAGTTTTGTGCTTCATCATTGAGCCTATGTTCTAGAAGGAAATCATTTGTTAGTTTGAGATGACGAGATCTTATTCGCGCGAGCGTTGCATTCAACTGAATGAAAGGTCACGTTGAAGATGCATCAGCAAAAACTCTATATGTATATTATATGCGCACACTTGACAGCCACTACACTGAGAACCATTGTCTTCAAATGCAATTAATAGCTCAAAAATGAATGTGGGCTTCGTTCTAGCCTACTTTGTTCAAAGCCGACGTTAGCGCACATTGTGATGAAAGTATGAGACAATCAAACTGAAAGATTCTATTGAATAGACAATTCATAACGTTCAAGTTTTCTAGTGTCGTTAGAAAATTATGATTAAACAAATTTAGGGTTTGTTTCGTTTTTTAACATGAATCTTCTAATATTATCTTTTATTATTTTAGAGAATGCGACATACATACATAGATTATGAAACATCATCATCAACTACTACTTTGATTATCTTTTTCGCAGAATATGCTTCATCAGTTATTCTTGCTTATTTTTTCTCTCGCTATTTTCATGATTTTATTCGAATAAAATTTGTGTGCTGAATTGATAATTAGACGTTCGTTTGAACGAATCAAAGTAACAAATCAATGATTATTCACGATAAATCTCATGTTCAGTAAAAAAAATTTGACAATATTAATGCAGCTTGGAAGTAAACTTTTTTCGTCTTCTGATTACTTATGACTTGAAAAACCGTTTTCAACTCATTGTTGATTAAGTAGTAAACAATGTTCTAGGATGATCATGAATGAGCTTAAACTTAGGATAGTATCAACAAGAAAGAAAACACAAGTTGTCACATAATTGCTTTGATGTCTTGTGGCATGTCATATTTGACTATCGTTCTCAAATTGCGTTTAGAAATATTACCAAAGTCAATTGAATTTCAGAAAAAAACAGATTAAATAACGAAAACATTGGTAGAGTCGAATATCTTCTTGAGACATGAAAGTGACAAATATTCCTTCATAATGCATTAACGCTAAAAACAGTAATGATACCATTCTGAAAGCGTGCTATCAATGCCGTTGTTAAATACTGTTTTGTCATAGAAGTTGCTCCGATTCGAGTCACGATCATGCTTCTCTGAATACAGTCATGCAGAGATCTGTTGGAATAAAGAGCATTGGCAATCTGGAGACGTATCATTGTGTAGGGAATCAGTTTCTCGACCACCTTGTGTTATCTGAAGAAATTTATTTTCTTCAATTCGCTTTTGAGACAACAATTTTCTCTATTCAAATTCGCAATTTGGATTGTTTATGTCAATGACCATTAGGAAAAGAAATCAAAATGAAATCTGTATGATCAATGTTTCGAATTACTTTATTATGATTTATCTTTGCAACCAGTTTATTATTTCCAATGAGAATGCATTATTCGAATTTCTATTACAAAAAAGATTTGATCTTGCGTTTAAATTTAAGAGTAATAAACATTTCTGAAATGTTTTTTAGAAAATTAAGAATATAGAAGTAATGTATGATGTACAATCATCAATCAAAGTCATGATTGTCGTAGAGTATAGTGTTGGTATTATTTACGAGACCCTTTTCATTGTAAGTACTTGGACGACGACGTAGATCCGTTGATGGAGGTACTGAAGAAATGTTACCATCGAACAGACTCCAACGTCGTTGGGTTGTTTCATTTTTTATATTTGTCTGACGTTGATCATTAGTTTTGAACAATTTTATTATATTTTCCATGTACATCGTAATTTCTTCTGGATTTTGAATGCATTGATTGATTAAGGATTTCAATTGTTCTCGTTGTTGTTCGCTCATGATGATAAGCTGAAGAAATGATTGAATCGATTGCCATTTGATCGAAGATTGCACTTTTGTCAGAGATTAAAATTTGAAACTTTCTTATGCTTTTTTTTTTCTTTTCTTCTTGATTCGACAATCAATACAAAAGACTTATCGTTGTTGCTTCCTTATTGTCTATCACTTAATCTAAAAATAGTTTTCTCTTCACTGTTAGAGCAATATATTATTTATAATCGAATTATTATTCACATTGATTCGTAGTACTCGAAATGTCACTTCATATCCATTGTTGATGTATGATTAGAGACATAAGTCGACGCCATATTTTTCGAAAAATAGTCAGTTATTGTTGTTGAGGAGATACAAATTAATTTACTCAATTCTAGCAGATTTTGAATTATTAATTGTTTTAATTCACTTTTGTCTCTTGCAAATAGTTTTATATCACTCGCAAGTATCTTGTGCTGAACTTTTGAAAAACTAAGAAAAAAGTTTTGAGAAGTCAATCCCGTATTGCACAAGAAAAATATCAAAGAATGAATCACGAAGAAACATGACAATCCTTTAGAATGTACTAAGCAAAAAACAGCATCAATATCAATATATTAGTGTTGTAGAGCATATTATTTTTGTGGGAACAACTTACGTGTGGTATAAAATTTTATGTGAGTTCCACATTTAGGATGAATGAAAGACTGAGTTGACACCGTCTGCTGCTAGAATCTATTTAGAACTTTTGAAGCTTAAGGGAGAACGCGGAAGTGACCGTGTGACTATTGAATTGAGCCTTGTCTTCATTCACAATCATACCCCTGAACGAGTCTCATTTATTTGAGAAAATAATTGCGATTTTATGTTGACGTGCTAATATAAGTCTTTTCTAAAGATGACATATTCATTTATTGCTGTTTGATTATTTGATTTTATCGTACATTTAACCTATCAATGGTAGACTTATCTTTCGATGACGTTCTTTATGGATAAAAATTGGTTCCATGATATGACACAAGAAATAATAAATGATTGAACACACACTTATTTCTAAATCGTGTAATAAACAAAATTATGGGTTAAAGTAAAGTTACATCAATCTTAGTAGTAAACGAAAGATTACTCATGAAAATCAAAGTGAATAAGTAAAAGTTTCATAATAAAAATGTTTTATGCACTCAACTATGTAAAAAAAAATAAATAGTAGTTTATTATTATTCACTGGTAAGTAAAAAGAAAAATCGACAAGTATAATTTAGATTCATCCAAAAAGTTGTTGTTCTATTTCTTTTTGCAGTTGTTCATTGTATGCAATTTGAAGATCTACACGCTCAAATATTTGTCTAGCATAGAGCTTAGCCACACCAATGTCACCACGAACTTCATTTTGAAGACGATGCTGTTGACAATAATCGATATTAAGATCGTTCGCTTTTGCACAGACAGTACGAGTTTGTGTCGAAATTCTGCTTGTGATAGAATAGCATCCAATAAGCTTAGTACCATAGATAGCTTTCATATCAGTTGCTTGACCATTTATAAAGAATAGACAAATAAATCTAACACTAGAATACTGAAGAACATTTTGTTGAACAAATAGTGGTACTTTGCAATGATTCCATTGTGGTAATATAATAACAGTTGTAAATGATCTATTGGGATCGTCTAATTCATGATGGAGACCATTTTCACTATGTATAATGTTAACAATATTATGGAAAGGTTTCAAGTCTATACGAGGATTAGCAAAATAACCATTAAGATCGAAGATTATTAAAGTTGGTTGATCCTCAAACAGGAGAGGGGGACGTGTTGAGCCTAATTGCACTTCCTAAAGTAAATAAAACAATTATTTTGCGCCAGCAAGTAAATAGATGAGATCTAAGGCAGATATGTCCATCGCGGCGCTGCCGCTGCCGCCACCGCCATCGCGGCAGCGGCAGGTTTTTTAAAAAATCACCGCGGCAGCGGCGCGGTAGCGGCAGGTTTTTTAAAAGACCATCGCGGTAGCGGCTGGATTTTTTTGGGAAACATTGAAAAACTGCATGAATTTAATAGAATTTCAGGGTTTACAAATGAAACACCCCGAGACTGAATGAATCTGATGGACTAGTACCAATATCTCTGGTCAAATATAGTCGTAGCAGTGAAATTAGAAACACTTTTTTGTAAACCGTCGCGGCGGCGGCACGTCTATTTTATAATTCATCGCGGCAACGTTTTTTTGATAAGTCATCGCGGCGCGGCAACATTTTTTTATAAGCCGTCGCGGCGCGGCTGCGATGCGGCAGCTTTTTTTTCTAAGGCCGCGGCGCGGCAGCGGCAGATTTTCAGCCGCGATGGACATCTCTGATCTAAGGATACTGATAATTTATCCTTCTACTACAAAATTCAATCGCTCGTCTACTCTATTTTGATAAGTAAGGTTGATTGTTTTGATCTGTGCTTGCAAACATTCTCTGTCAGTTCATTCAAGAGAATATTTACTATTGTTTCTCTTTTTTATATAATTAGAAGTGTCTCAAATAAGTTATAACTAAAGACAAGGAAAAGAGCAATCATTTAAAAGAAGTATGATAGTCAAAAAGAAAACCAAATTTTCGTTCTGTCGCGCAGCAACTCGAAAGGTTTCCAGCATCGCTATAAACATTGATTCTTTAGGTCAATAACTTTTTATAGACGTGTGAGGAATATTATTTATATAGATAAAGCAACTGATAAATGCTTCTGACAACACATTGTTTTCGATTCGATTCAATGCAATAAAAAGTTTGCGTTCTAATCAAGACGACTTATGTTTGGCAAGGGAATCTATCCAGATGACAAAAATTGATTCCAATGAACATTATGTTATTAGGTGGAGCCTACTGAGCGTAGGCAAAATCTATTGTGATGCATCTTCTTTTTATTTTAATACTTTGTATGCCATAAAAAAATTCAATATCATAATTTAAATATGAACTTTTCTTCGCAAAAATTTCTTATGCTATTGTCATTCATTGAGATTCTCAGTTGCAATGGAGATTAGACACAACAAACAAAATACAAATAAGTAATCATCACTGACCATATCATCTAGAGTTTTTCGTCGACCAAATTATCGTGGTCAATAACAATCAAATTTATCTACAACAGAGAAATAAAGATGTTCAATAAGATCAATGAGTTCTTTGAAAAATCTTTCTTAAACTTTACAGTAGATGATCATGTAATATCATATCTTCCATTTTATTGAATTTTTTACAAGTTTTTAAATTAATAGATTGAAATTGACAATAGCAAAAAACAAAAAGAAAACAATAAGACCTTCTTGTATGACTTTGTCGACTACAAAGGTTCAGTGGAATCATACTACACTCTGAAAAAAAGTGTTTGTTTTAAGGATTGCTAAGACCGTTTCGCAAACTTCTCTGGTATATAAATATTTGAAAGCCTTATTTTTTGAATTCCAAAAAATACAGATTTGTTTTAGAACATCTAGTTCTTAAATTTTATTGTAATATGTATATGTGAAGCATAAAAAATGAGACCAGATGGTTCAATTATTGACAATGTGAGAACATACAGGATAGATTTCGGTGATATTTCAAGCTAGAATAGAATTTCTTCATGATTGATTAATCTAACTATTTCGCTTTTCCAATATTTCTGCATAGCGTCTCAAGGTTTTCTCAGTGTCATTCTTGAGCAACTTGTAGCATTGTGTAGATCTATCGAGTAAGCGCTTAGCTTTGTCTTGATCTTGAGCTTCAATGCACATTTGAATAGCAGCTTCTCGATAGCACTGACCCAACCTGTGATACAGATGATTCATAAGATGATCAATCTCACAAACATAGGTAACGTTTAAATGATTTGTCGATGGATTTTTCACAAATTCTTGTGGTTTTAAAAACCAGTAATAATACAACGGTTGAGTTAGTGACAGTAGATCATTAGACGGTGCTTCAGATGATACAACAATAATTGAAGTTAGCAGTTCCATTTTCGATATAGTTGATATAACTTCTTTGTTCGTTTTGCAAGATATTAGCCACGTGATGTCTGATGCAATATGGATTGATTTTACATCTAATCCGACGACAAATATCATCACTAAAGAATCCGAATCTTCTTCGAGTGTCCAACGGCATAATTGTTGTTCGACATTATCATTATCAAAGTTTGTTCGTCCAATTAGTTTTTCTGCTTCATTTTTATGTGTTTTTATATGACTTAACTGATCTTTAAGTTCCTCTTTTGCTAGGTGATTTGCGCGCGTCACCATTTCTTTGGCCCAATCGAAGTAAACCAATGCAGAGTTAGCTAATGATAACTCATGACTTTTGTGATCCTCGCCTTTCAATAAATAATGTTGACTGATATCTTGCAAAATACGAATTAGCAAACTGTTGGATTGATCAAAGAGACGAATGTCAATGTCCTGATTCCGATAATTATCAATCCAATTAACAATTCCTGAAATGTAACCATCAAGAACATAAATCTTCTTGATCGAACCGCATGTTTCAGTCAAACGCGGTAGTATTTTTTCTGCGGTAAAACCTGATGTAATGAAGAAGATTGTTTTGGTACTAGCATTTTCGTTGATACACTGGCAACAGTAGTCCATGTTATGAAAAATTTCTAGAGTTCCAGGTATGTTTGAGAAACATGTTTTTATGTTATTTTTCAAATGAACGAGATCTTCAGTATTGGAATCATGTGTCTGAACTGTAATTGCGCCAGATGCATCTGTTTTATACTCACTATCTGTCTGAATTTGTTCACATGAACTGAATCGTTCGTCTAGACAGATTACGAGATGATCTGGGATGGGAGAAGGTATGTCGTTTGAAATTGTTTGTGTTCCAGAATCATCCTAAAGAAAGTTATTTAGAGTATACTCGAACGTTCTCAATGGTTGATAATTGTCTCAGACGTAAATAACGGAATCCTAGAACTCTATGAATTGCCTATAATATTTTTGAAAAATTCTTTTTGGAATTCTATAGAATTTCACGATTCCTCTATTTACTGATTGCTTTACGTACTTCATCGAAGTCTCTTTCTTGTTGCTGCTTCAGTTGTTCATCCGCGATCTCTATAAGTCGATTGATTTCTTCCAGTTCTTTGCTTGCTTGCAAGTATTGGTCAAATGAAGACTCTATGTAGCTTTCTGATACATGTGGAAATTTTAACTTATCATGACGGATAAAAAGACTCTTAGACCATGATAAACGTTCGATAGCAGCTCTATTTTTATTTGCTTCAAGTAGTGCTTGACCATGCTGGAGGAATTCACTTCCAAGATCTCGTGTCATTCGTGCTAAAAGATCTGTTTCGAAATCAAAGATTTTCACATATTCATAGTATTCAATAGCCCATTCGCACGCTCTTGCTATGTCCGTACAGAAAATATAGATTGAATCGTATGGTGTATTGGTTTTAGTGTTGATGAACGAATGAGAATATCGTTTGAGCAGTTGTGAAACAGCCGATTGTCCAAGGGTACTTGATGAAATGAACAAGATCCGATGGTTCTGTATTTTGTCGATGTACTCGAGACAGGCAGCTTCATCAACAAATGTTTTTAGTGTAAAATGAAAACTATCGAAGATCACGGGAATTTCAGATTGGCATTGTATAATTTGGTCAATATCTTTATCAGACATCTGCACTTCTCGACCACTTTCCGGATCAATGTATGTAAAGAAGGTGCGTTTGAGTTGAAGACAAAAGTCAGGTTCTCCAATATGCGCATCGAGCCAAACGATGTGATATTTGTTAGGAAGGAATAAGCGAGACATTTTCTATAGTTTTTATCTAAAATAGATCATAATATGGGAAAAAGTTTTCAACTTGGCTTCGTCATGCCTTCAAAAGGATTCAAGAAAATTCTTTTTGATTGTTCACAGAGTCCAAGTAATCTCTATCCAAAGTGAAACGAGTCAAATTCCAAAAAAATTTACATATGGAAACTAATGAGCTAGCGCAATAAGTCATGGCTGCAGATAAATTTTCAAAAATTTCGGGCGAATTCTTCAGTTAATATCAGGAATTGACTTCTTTTTTTTCTCTAATATTTGGACACGAAAACTTTATCTAAACTATTACTGTTTTTCTACCTTGTCGGAATACAGAAAACATCGTTTTTTCCTTTGGTTTCCAGGCAGCTTTTTGTATTTGTTTACCTTCTTAGCGTCTTATATTTTAAGATTCGAGGATGAATTTTGAATGTATTAAAGTACTATCAAGGTACCTCAATAGTATATCATTTTCTTACATTTTCGTACGTATTCAACGCTATGGTTTTAAAAGTCATTCGATAGTACCTGTCCTCTATCTAAGTCATTTTTGATGAACTTGGTCTTATTAAATAGATCTTTCCAAGATGAGTACAGCACACTATCACAGACCTTCGTTCAAACTCTACTTGCTCTTAATAGATCCAATAAAGCGAGATAGCATTCGTTTCAAAATGGTCGTATGTGGTCAGCAAGGGGAGAAAAGCGAAAACTTCGTACTTCATCCATATTTCACTATACCTCGCCTTTTAATAAATCTATCTTGCAATAAAGAAGTACGGATTAACTACAAAGTTTTCATTTTTTTCCTTATCACTGATCACATGCCAGCATTTTTACATTAATAATATCTTGATTTGGCGAATTCGCCATCGACAAGTAGGGTTTGGACGAAAGTATGTGATAGTGTGCTGTAATCATCTTTGAATAATCTATTCAACGATAACAAGTCCATTAAAAACGACTCAGTTATTAGGGAGCTACAATCCAATGATTTTTGAAATCATAACGGTAGCTATGTATGAAAATATCAAAAAATTAAATGTCATTGTTAACTTTGTTACGAGTATTTGTGGACTTACTCTCACTTCAATTCTTTACATATTTATACTCAAAGTTACATCTTTTAATATTCTTCAATATATTCAAAATTCATTCTAGAACCTTAAAATATAAGGTTCTAAACGAGTCAATCGACACAAAAAATTTGTATAAAAACCAATGAGAAAAATTGATATTTTCTATATTCCGAAAAATAAAAATTCTGTAGAATACTAAACTATTACTGTCCGTTTCTAATCATTAAATAAACTCTTTTTAAGTGTATGAGTGTAAATCACTCTTTCATAAAACCTTTTTATTCTGTTGTCAAAGTTTATATGACGATAATAACGAGACAGTGAGCATTTATTCATTATATACAGGGTGTTGCAAAACCTTTGTGCCCCCCTGGTTCGACCTTAAGGTCAAATGATTTCACTAAGTATTTTACACCAAATTGAAGCCCGTAAAAATCTGCATTTATTGATACTAAATGGTAAAGGTTATGAAGACTTTTTAATGTCGAACTTCCGAGATTTTCAGAAATTTGACACCTTTTTT